TCATCACGGACCCATGCTGATCAAGGTAACTTGTAACGCATTTACGAAATGTTTTAATTGAAATTTAATGTGGAAATAATAAATAACCACGACAGTTGCAGTCAAACGATGTCAATTGCGAAGGATATGCGGGGTTTGTGGTTCCAAAAGAGCGATCGGACCGATTCCCATCGAAAAAAACGTCAACTACGGTGGAGCTTACGTCTTTGGCTGCAGTTTTGAACCACGCACAGGACGGGAGGTGGATAAGTTTCGGTAGAACTGTCGTATATAATGCAGCGATTTAAGGGAGCGGGATTATGGGGGTAGATTAAGGACGAGGAGAAACAGTAGTTCCAGGCTTTAAGCGCTGTGGTCGACGACCTCAAATCGTCTCACCGTTCCGATCTGAGTAAAAGAGCCTTTTTCTTGATGGAGGCGACGTACTGTTCAGGCACCCAGTAGATGAAAAAGCGTGATTTCCGTGTGGGACCAAGTTGGAAGCTCATGATGTGGTAACCCGGATGGCCAAGAATGGGATGGTGTTCGACTTCTTTAACGGTGTCCAGAGGTATCTTGTAAGTAGCAGAAGGGGTCGCCATCCAAAGTTCAGAGCTTTCCGGATGGAAGCGAAGTCGCAGCGGTTTACCCTTCTTGTCCAGCAAGCCCGTCAATGTCTCATTATCTGCCAGCGTCACTGGTACACTGAAACTCGTCTTGGCATTGTCCGGTTTGCCAAAAGTCTCTATAACATGTTTGTGACATGCGACAATTTCTTTATCTTCCTCAGGAGGGGGTTCATTTTCTGTGTTCGTATCAGACTCGGTCGCAGAGACTGTCGACAGATCTGAAGCCTAAAAGGGCCAACTAATAATGATGCCGGATTCCGTAGTCATTTCAGATTTCTTATACGTGCAAATCCACATGCTTACCATGATGAAGTGCACTTCACAAAATATTGGCTTTAGGAACAACTCGCTATTCAACAGCTAATAAAAAAATCAAGATCTTGCAAAAATACCCTTTACACAAATGAACAGAAAAATAATTTTCTTGTTGATTTAGAATTTAGTTTGTTAAAGCACGTATAACGCGAGAGAAATGATGAGGCAAACTCCACGAATAAGGCTTACCACTGGTGCATCCCTTTCAGTACCGATTAGCATTATTTTTGCTTCTCGCCCAGGTAATTTAAGATTCGCAATTTTCATATCGTTCTTAAGAATACCCCGAAATATCAACTTTTGTTTGTCAACTGGCACGTTGGTAACCGCTTCAAGCTTATCCTTCAAATCTTCGACGGTGCAGTCAGGCCTGAGTTCGAGAGAGTAATGACTTCTGTTATGCTGAACTGTTAAACGAACGACAGCATCCTCAGAATTCTCCACCACTCCTTTCGACCCTTCGGTGCCGTCAGGAGTTGCCAGTTCGTTGGTGTTAGTGCGCATTGATCCGCCTATAAGTGCAATTACCAAGTCGGGCGTGTGGCGAAGTAATGATGTGACTTATCGTAGGACGTCTGATGCGTATTTAACGACAAAATTGCCTATAACAACACAAATACCCGCAAATACGCCAACTTTGCAGCCACTTATTAGGTGGTGCACGAATGGGAGAGACAGAACGATGGGCAACGGCAACTGGCAAAGGGTAAAACTAACGTAGGACAACGAACTTAATGCTACACGGAAAACGTTGCTACCTTTATTAATAGTAATGCCCAATTCACCAAAAGGATGCCGGAATTAAGCCCAACGCGCGATACGCTACAGATGCCGAGCTTAAATAGTTTTCAAACCATTCAGTAAATTTGTTTTACGGAACACCATCCAGATGCGTTAGTATCTACCAAGAAATTGCTCATGGAAAAATTTAATTAAGAATTAGTTTCCATTAGTAAGTAATACAGTTATTGATTTGCTTCGGTTTTACTACAGTACTGGGAATATTATTTGTGATTTAAAGCGTACATGCCAATATTTAACAGTAAAGTTTGAGCTTTGTTGAGATGTGTTGTTTGTTTTTTTGGAAACTTGTTAGCATGCCAACCCTACTTCATCATTGGACCAATGGTTGTTGAGGATTTACTGCTGTAGCGCAAATATTCGCTTATTGACGAAGCATGAGGGGCGCTCCTGTTGTAATTTTAAGTAGGCTTCTCCTAAAGCATTCCAACTTCTAGATCGAAACACTAGACGGGAGCATGGTAAGGACGTCCAACTTGGAAATATTGAGGCTGGGAAAACAGTAGCGGACGTAATTCGTACGTGTTTGGGTCCTCGAGCGATGCTTAAGATGCTTTTGGATCCAATGGGCAGCATCGTGATGACAAACGATGGCAATGCCATTTTGCGCGAGATAACCGTTGAACATCCAGCTGCTAAATCCATTATTGAGATCGCCAGAACACAAGATGAGGAAGTGGGCGACGGGACGACCTCAGTCATTGTTCTTGGTTAGTCTTTTCGTAGCTTTTAACCGTTTAGCCGGTGAGGTTCTTTCTGTGGCTGCTCCCTGCCTTGAGAAACAAATCCATCCAACAAAGATTATTGCTGCTTTCCGTCAGGCCTTGGAGGACATAACTACCGCTATCGACAAAAAGCTTAGGTAAATCGACTTTATGTTCAATTCTCTCACAGCATTCCCCTTGATGTAAATAACCATGAGGCAATGGTCAATCTCGTCAAAAGTTGTGTAGGAACCAAAATGATTAGCAAATGGTAAGAAACTCGCCCATCTTTTCTAGGCTTAGGGTGGACTTGGCATGCAAATTAGCCATTAATTCTGTCAAGGTTGTCACCATCATTGACGGTAATCGGAAGGAGATTGACATTAAACGGTATGCCAAGGTAGAGAAGGTAGACTGGAAGTTTTTCTTCAATGGCTATTTCTAGATTCCGGGTGGTTCTATTGATGACTCGTGTGTTTTGGATGGAGTGATGTTCAATAAAGACATTTTGCATCCGAAAATGCGGAGACGCATCGAGGGTCCTCGCATTCTACTTCTTGATTGTAGTTTGGAGTACAAAAAGGGTGAGAGCCAAACCACTATGGAAATATGTGGCGAAAAGGACTTCACGTAAGCTCTTTTCTTTTGTCCATTGTTTAGTCGAGCCCTCGAGATCGAGGAGGAATATATTAATAAAATCTGTGAAGAAATTATTAGACATAAGCCGGATGTGGTTATCACTGAGAAGGGAGTCAGCGATCTTGCTCAGCACTTTCTGGTCAAAGCAGGAATATCAGTTATCCGCAGGCTCCGCAAAACTGATTGTCTTCGAATTGGGCGTTGCACTGGTGCAACAATTGTTAGCCGCACCGACGAGATCAAGGAGGAAGATATTGGTACTGGTGCAGGCCTCTTTGAAGTCAAGTTGATTGGTGATGAGTATTTCACATTCATCACTGGGTGTAAAGTTAGTCCAATTACTTATATTCGAACGTGAATTTGCAGGATCCTAAGGCGTGTACCATCCTTCTTCGTGGTGCTAGCAAGGATGTTCTGAATGAAATTGAAAGAAATCTGCAAGATGCCATGTCAGTAGTGCGTAGTGCTTTTATGGATCCTCGCTTAGTCCCTGGCGGCGGGGCACTCGAGATGGCTCTCGCACAGGACCTCAGTCAAAAGGCGAAGTCGGCAGTTTCAGGTGTTCAGAAGGTTGCTTACTTGGCTGTAGCCCAGGCTTTGGAAGTCATTCCTAGAACTTTGGCTCAAAATTGTGGTGCAAATGTTTTGAAACAAATTACGGAATTGAGAGCCTATCACGCCATCGATCCTGCAAAGAACTGGACCATGGGGATCAATGGTGAGACTGGGCAGCTGGTAGACATGAAAGAACTCGGTATTTGGGATCCCGTTGCGGTCAAATCTCAAACTTTTAAAACAGCAGTTGAGGTAATCCACAGCCCTTCTAATTCACGTTCTAGACTGCTATATTACTTCTGAGGATTGATGACATCGTATCTGGAACCAAGAAAGCTAATGACACCGACTCGAAGCCTTGAAGTTGTTTGGAAGTTAATAAAGCTGAAATATTTTGCGTCTCCGAGCCGACATTGTTGTTTCATAGCCTCTAATGGTGGGGGGCAGTTTCTACTATGCGTCTGGTGCCTTAATACTATGGTGAAAGTTCTCCATGGGTTCCAATTTGATGGTGCAGAGATCGTTACATCCACTCCGCTTTCAGTTTTGGTTCCCAGAAGTGGGTTATCAGTGTACACATACAGCTACTCCTTGGATAAGATTCGCACCCAGTCGTCGTAGAGTTTGTCTTCGGCACGACCCTGCCCACTTATTGACCCCAACTGCTGACCTCGTGAGCCATAGAAGAGCACTGAGAACGATGAGAGCTAAGTATGTAGGTTTATTCCTATAGATAGTCGATGAATGGGGATGTATGGAAATGAGTATTGGAGAAAACATCAAAGCATAATGCGTACAGGGGACGATGAATATTACAAAGACAAAACAGCGATGGTTAGCTAAATACATTGAAGGGAGGTTCATTTGATTGTTTTAGCACTCGAGTGAGTAACCCTGAATAGTTGATACACAATAAAAACGAGGTACGTTGATAAGCGCGCACACATTCCACCAAGACGTGAATGCCGAGGCAACCCGAAATCCAAATAAATGCTTCCATCTAGGAAATTTCTCAAAATACAAATTGGAGGAGCCAAGCTTCAGAAGAATTGGCTCATCTAAACAAGATGAAAATAGGATACTTTGTGAAGACAAAAAGTGACAACCACAGCACATCACAAGAAATGTTGAGAGGTTTCGCTGTGTGAGAAGCTGTATATGTGCGCGCAAAGGAAATTAGGAAGCATCAGATAGATTGTTAATACAGATCCGTTGACCTTGTATTAAGAAATATGTGGGCCATCTGGACAGCGTTCTCGCAATGCTCGTTCTCTCCCAAAGCAAATCGACGCCATTTCTTCTGAAAGTGAAAGTCACGATCAGGGTATCGCAACAAAATCGCAGAAGCAAACCCAATGAAACGGAAACAATAGCACATCCTAACAATGCAAATATAATGCGCAATGTTAACTAGTAGAACGCCTTGCACTTACCCCACACGCCATTTGCAAAATACGTCTGATAGTGAATTCAGGCTCCTTGTGTACAGGATATGCTAGCTTAACGCCCGGAGCAGAAATGGCCTGACGCGAACCACTCAAACCTAGCCGAGGAACGTTAGTGGCGGACTGTGGAGTTTTTACAATTGTAACAGGCGTAGTTGCAGCAGCCATCCTGTTCCATACTGTCATTTTGGCCATTGACAGGGCGATTGAATCACTAGCAGAAGACTTTGGTTGATTTAAAGGGCCAACAAATGAGAATCTCGGCTTAGGTGATTGATTTTTGAGTGGAGCACCCAATCCCTTAATCTTAAATAAGAAAACATTCAATTAAATTGCGAGCACAGATGCAGTAGATGAGAACCGAAAGATGTAAGTAATAAACATGATATGAAGTGGCTCCGAAGCGAATACTACGTGTTAAAGCAAAATAACATGGAAACTGAAAAAAAAAGGGGGGGGGAATCTCTCAATGAGACGTACCAAAGAACTCGATACTGGTTTTTCGGATTCAAAATTGCTGCTTCTAAACAATACTCGAGGCCTAAATGATTTAACGGATTTTGTATTTGCTGTACCACCGAGATTCCCAAAGCCAGAAGGCGGGCTCGAAAGATGGAAAGACTGCTGGTCGGACTCATTAATAGCCTTGGAGGGCGTCTGCACCACAAAGAAATCATCGCTTGAGGTGAGATATCGGAATGATGAAGAGACAGGTGAGGCCTCGTGGCAAGGGTGAGCCATAGTCTCGTCGGTGGGATCGTTAAGAGCGTCAAAATTAAGGTTTTCAATTGGAGAGGGAGAAGTGGATGATGTGGAGTTGGATATACGAGATGATTTCTTATTGTAGGAGGGAGACAAATGTGGATCCAGATGCATTCTTCTTTTGAATGAATGTCCGAAGCTCGACTCAAATTCCCTGATTACATAGAAGTAAGCAATTGAGACTAACACATGTATAAACTACGATTTTAAGGCAATAATGACGCATGAAATGTTTAAAGTTATCTTACTCGGGAATCACACCGGTTTCGTAACTCAATGTCGCCGTTGGCCCGAGAAGTGTTGTTTCCTAGACAGCAAGAAGTAGCAGTGATGGCAGAGAATTGCCAAATACTAATTAAACCTGATGTAACTAGGGTTCACCGCTCATAGTAAATAAAAATACGACAGCTTCAAGCACGACTCAACGATAGTCGACGCAATAATCGGTAGATTAGTTAACTAGTAAATGAAACGAGTCGCTGAAGGACTTTTTCCAAGCTTCCTGCGCCTTTGACTATTTTCTCCGATTGATTTTCGAAGGTGAACAATCAGATATCCATAATATACTACTTCGAGCATTCCCATTTTTTCACACGTACTCTGCACCGACTGATGATGCCTAACTATATAAAAATAAGGTGAAATCATTGTCAACCTTTACATAGCAATGGTATGGGCTAAACTTCACGGTTTGCCTTGGTAGCACCTTCGTTTTAGCAAGCCGCCTCAAGTTGCGCACCATGGTCGCAACTGCGCTATAAGTCTTACCACGACTTCTTACGTGGTTAAAACAAGGTTAACCTTAACAATCGCATTGCTACTATATGCTATCACCTTAACCTCAAGCAGGTATGGACGGCCAATTGACGAATGTGCTGAGCTTAGAAATGACTGATACACAGTAACTATAGAAAAAAACGATTTGGAAACATAGCTAATTTTGGGATGGTTTCGAACAATTTCACCACACGTTTCGGCAGCCGCCCAAGAGCAGGTACAAAAATTTGAAACATCAGGTATTCCGATCTACTCAGCACCCGAAAAACCGGGAGCAGGGTCCGCAAAAGTAAGATAAACTTAACTAACTAGCTAGGATGGAAATAGCTGATATTGATTCATATAAAACATGATCTAATATGAATGAGCTTACATTTGAGTGAGAAATGTTGCACGCAGAAGAAGGCTCACAAGAGTTGGGTCTTCCCAAGGATTGAGTACGTTTTTCGAGGTATGTATCCGACCTATTGAAGTTTACTTGTGAATGTGGCCAGAATTAAAGCAAGCATTAACATTAACAAGGCAATAAGACAACCTAGTTATAACGTAGCAGACGTCGACAACTTACTCAACGGCACAATTTGGTGGGATTCGATGATAGCTACTGGGAGCACCACACTCCAAGTGAGGCCACTCTATTTGCAGTTCTGAAGGGGAATGCTTTATGACAGTAGGTACACTATCAACAACGACCTCCCATTTTGGAACACACGAGGCTGTTAAACTTGGTAAGGCTTGATTTTTGAGATCTTCTGGCAGAGAATTTCGTTCGAAGTTAGATAAATCGTTGAAGAGAATCCTTGTTGCATAGAAGGGCAAATAAATACAATAATACCTTTGGTTCGAGCGCATTGGTGATCCGCTTTGACCATAGTCCGCAATCTGTAAATTGTTTACACGCGATATAGGGTTCATAAACATATTAAGCATCCCGCGTAAAGGTCGAATAGACTTTGAAGCAAAACAGTCCCTCAGGGTTCAGAAGGAATCTGGTAAATAAGAACACCCAAACGGATATCCATTGCTTTAGTGCAGTTAAAATGATCAGGCGTCAAGTATCATAAGGAAAAACCGCAGCTAAAGTTAACATGACCAACGTGCAAATGCTAGACTGGAAAACGCCAAGCCAAATAAGATTCATTTTACGATCTTACCAAAGATACACCACAGTTATATGATATTATCAGCACGCCTCTAAACATCAGTGGCTTATTTACTCTGACATACTGAAGTTTCGTTTGTGTGGCGTGACTTGAATGACGATGTGAATAACCATTGTAAGGATGTGATTATGGCATTCAACAATATTGATTCCCAACAAGTTATGAAACCGACAACTCACTGCCTGCTCACTTGTACAAAAGAGCGCCAGATGACTCAGTTATCCTTCGTCGTAGTCACTCAATACTGCGAACCTTCACCACTGAGTATGGAGAAGAAAACGCCCGCAAACCATTCAATCTGCGCGCACAATGCTAAACAAGTATGCACTGTGTCGAAAAACACATACTCGTTTCCGATGCATAAAAATTTTAAACACAAGCAATAATTTTGTTGGCCGTATCAATTTTCAGGTCGATACTAGTGCAGACTATCAAATGAAATGTTGGTACCAAACAAAAACCTTAATGCCCTTGTGATTGCATAGTGCAGTTAGAAATAATATATTCTCCTAAGTCTGTGCCAATATGGTCGCAATACCATTTCAATATTAAAATTTAATAATGAAAATGCACTTTCCGGAAATTTTAAGGATATTTGCCAAACACACCATACAGGTCGTTGTTCGCCAGAACCTATGTTTTTCGCCTGTATTTTGAAAATGTAGATGGTACTTCGCGCGACCAGACGTACTAAGAAATCTCGAGTTTTTCACTGTGTAGGAATAGGCACTGGGTTGGGCTGAATACAGGTATTCTGAGTGAAAAATGAGATCAAGCCTGAGCTTGGTCCGTAGGCCAGCTCACGCTTACAAGGTTTGTCAAAACATAAGGTGATCACGTAAAAAGTATTACGCGTCGCTTGAGTTCCTTGAGGTAGCCATATTGTTGGGATCGGTTGATTTTCCTTTTAAGCGATGGCAGTAGTCCTCAACCGTTATTCCTTTGCCAGGTATACGTATTGTGTCGAAGCATTATGCTTTCACCCATCTACCCCCTGCTAGGGCTTAAAAGCGAGGGAATAGTAAGCGCAGGTCTTGGGTCGCTCATATAGTGGCGCTGTCTGCGAAATCGGAAGCTCTGTTCCGAGTGTCATTTGCCGTTCTATGTACTTGCTGGTGCTCATATCGTTATTAATTCATAACTCCTATTGAAAGCATTTGCAAATCATTAAACAAAGCTATCTGGTCCCAATCATTACTGCTGAGCTCTTCTAAGTTCTCGAGGTAAGTTGGATCCTTACACGGCCTTTTGGAAGCATTGGCTAGATTTCACAAGGCAATCTATTGTGACTGAACTTTGACTACAACGGTAGAGATGCAGCACAGGTTAGGAAAGCGAACAAAAAGGACAAGACATAGTCGAAAGACTTGCAAACAGTTGCAGTAGCAATAGGGAAACCAGTGGTGAAGACTATCTGCTGGGTGATTTACAGAAGGGGGCAGTCGCATTTCAGCGTAAGCAGCAGATATGGCAAGATAAGCTGCTCGTATCGCTGTTATAAATTACAAATAATTCCGAAGACTTCATGGAATTAAAACATATGAATGGATTCTGGAAGTAACCATCAATGCTCCCTTGGTAGTGTTTTGGAGCGGGGTCCTGGCCCCGAGGAGATGGATGAGATTAACGACTGCAAACGATATATCAAATCCCGTGCAAAATTTAACAATTTCGACAAATCATGCTGTTCAGCTCTCTCTAAAATGTTTAAACGGATTGAAATTAATATCCTGGCAACATCAACTTTGCACACAAAAGATACCTCTACTCAGTGGTTTTTGATTGTCTTTATTAACAGGCAAAGCCTTTATGTTTATGCAAGCCTGGAGATCCAGTACAATCACCACTATATATGACATTTAAAATTTCCAAAATGTTAGGAATTGATCAAGCACTAGCGCAACGGTTCTGGTCTTACCTATTTGACGGATATGTATAATTGACTTACTTACACTCATTCTTCAAAGTAACAAATCAGTTTAGAAATTTAACAACAAATCAGGTAGTGCTTCCATTAAATTAAAATATGGAGTTTCAAAGTAATTACGCTACAAGTTAGTAACATTTTTACGCATCCAGCATCCTTTCACATCAATGGATTTTATTTCTCATGATCAAGTAAGCATAAATTCAATGGCATTGGTCTGGGCACAAACAAGGAAATGGCAAATCTTGCAAAACTTACCGTTGTAAAAGCGTATAATGTCGGTGTAATCGAAGCAATAGAAGATAATTATGTCGCGATAATACTGAATCAAGGCAAATGCAATGAAAATTTCAAAATCTGGGCAGACTAAACGATAAGAGGTCCAAATCGTTTCCCAGGCAAGAAACACGTCAGCGTATTTGAATTCTACAAGTTTAGAACGTGTGACGAGTAACACTGGTTACATATATTTACTCATTTTGGTTAACAAGACAATTAACTTACCCCGCTTGAAGTCCAGAAGGAGCCATCGGTAGAAATATAAGTGAGAATTGTCCTCATTTAGGTGCATGTGTTCGGCAAGGACAGGGTCTAAGACCTTAAAATGCATTAAACACACCAATAAGTTGGATGGAGCTGTAGTGTGCAGGGGACAAAGGATATTTGTTCAACAACCCCATATCTTGATTCAAGTGGACAAAACTGTGAAATAATGAGGCACTACCAAAAAAAATCACATGTAATGGAATCAAAGTCATAAGAAAACAGCTGTTAGTCTGACTATCGAGACTCCTGTTTCATTGTCTTGGTTTAGGCTGAAGAAAGGACTTGTGTGGTGTTAAACCGCATAGATATCATGCAGCGAGAAGTCGCTTGCTCTGTGATAAACTTTTAATAAACATGAGTGGGTGAACGCGTTGATAAGGACCTACTTCGATGAGACTGCGAAGACTTTCAAATTGTCGATTAATGAGTGTGTTTCCAGCAGGAGCAAGACTAGACACATTCGTCCTGGCAGTATGGCCAACCATGGAGTGGTGGTTGGTCTCTTGCAGTAGCTGCTGTTTAGTTTTGGGGCGTGTGAAATCGTAGCGACGATGGGGCGCACGCTCAAAGGCAACGGGTTCTAGAAGGTGAGGTAAAAGAACTCCTGCCGCTGCCGCCGCCTCTGTGCTCGTAAAAGTGGTGCTAGATGCAAGGGGAAATTTTGAAAGCATCCTCAACATGAGTTGCGAGAAACAGGCGTAGGTCAGGGCTTCGTCTTCCAGTACCACAAGCAAGGGCGCCAGGAGATCGCACATGCCCTGCACGTAACCCGTTTCCATATGCTGCCAGATCCAAGTGCACATGATAGTGCGGAGACGGTAAAGGTTGGCTGAGAGGTCGAGACTCGCCACACACAAACCCCCCATCAACTGCTCTGAAACCGCTGTCTGGGTACCGGCACCATTGGACAAGCCTGTTAGCGGACAAGTTTCAGTAAGCTAACCGCAATGTCAGACATTTCAGGTTTTAGTGTCTCCTTAATCGTCTTCATCATCACAGACCACTGCTTTTTTATTCCACTGAGGACCGTTTAAAGGTAAATTTTTTTTTCATTTTTCACCCTTGTAGAATGTTGCAATACTCACCACAATGAATTGGAAAAAAAGTTAGTGATGTGTAGAATTTACGATGTCTCTCTTGCTCGTTAGCTTACAATCAGGGAACGAAACTACCATTACAGGTTGTATTTTTTGAAAAGATGGTAGGAGAGACGTGCAGACTGTCTTCACTGCCTCTGATTGTAGCTCACCTTTGGAGAAATAATGGTAGTTTCGATCACATCTGGCAACATCCTTGTCGATCCTCTGAATATTTACTGAGAGAGCCTCAAGGACTTCACTCTGTGAAAAGGAAGGTAAAGAAATCCTCTGGCAGAATGATCAACGTTTTAACAGGACCAAAAAGTTCGTACTGTCTGAGGCAATTAAATATGCTGTTAAAAAACCTCAATTAAGTACAATTTTGTTAGGTCTCAAGCACGTCTTTTAAAGTGGACTGTTACAATTCTCTGTGGCAGAGAGAACTGGAATGGATGCACCTACGTTTTTGATCGTTCATCGAACAGTCGGATAGCATATTTTATGAAACTAAGAGTACAGTGTAAACCTGAACACCAGAAATGTCGGTAATAAAAAACCGCCACATTCCACAATGTGATGCTTGTTTAGATTCTGAATTTCGTGGTAAACGAGGACAAAGTAAAAATGTACTCCGGTGGTAATGTTAAGAAGCAAGCCAACTACGATCTCTACTTGATTAGTTAACAAAGTGATATAAAAGCTGCTAATTCTGGGGAGTGCAAAAGTTGTAGTTCGAAAATGCCTCCCTAGAAATGTAGTCTCGCACAGAAAACTGAAAATAGATACGAATTGGAATTATTTACATACCGAGTAACTAGCTCCCGATACTTCAGAACGTGAATACCGACTATGTTTTTTCTCTCTTGATGGCTGGGTCAGAGACTGATGGTCCTGACCTCCGATTCGTGTGGGAGGCAAAGTGAGCGGGCTGAAGACTTCATCAACGTCGGAGTTGTCCTCCTGTGTAATGGCAGAGGAGTTAGTATTGCGGATTGTAACTGTAAGATGGTCAAGCGATTTGGGAGTATTAGGACAGGACTGAGCTCGCGCCATAGCGAGACGACGCACGCGATTCGCCACTGCATTGTTCTCGATTGTATCGTCGTCGTCCGTTGTCGTCATTGTACACTCCTCAGTCGCATCGTCTGCCAGGTCGATCGAGTTGCCACAACCGCTGTAGCCAATGCCACCTACTCCAGTGTTGATTTTAAGAGCCCGGGACTCATGTGTCCACTTGGGAGGCAATGGAGGTAGTTCGTTGGCTAAGTAGAATGCAAAAGAAAACTTGTTTATGTGCTTGGTAAAAGTATCAGCAACTAAACCTCTTAAAGACTTCTGGTTCAAGGTATTTTTAGTAGAGGTAACGAGAAACAGTAACACTATCGGTCACACCTCAAGAAAGTTGGCACCATCTCAAAGCCGTCATAATTAATAGGTGATGGACCAACATGAGGTTCCCCTTCTGAGGTTTTGAAAAGAGCAATTTTACAGCCAACGGGAATACAAGTGGCTATAAAACCAATAACTTTTGCCAAGACATACTGACTGCGTTTTTCATTGGAAATGATGATGATCACTAATATGGACAGAGAATGTGAATAATCCCTGTTATTTTATCCAATTTTGCCGAGGGCTTGATGATAAGAAAGGGTTAAAGAGCATTTCCCATTTGATAATTATCAATGGGACGTGGGTACATGAGTTGGGCAGAGCAATAAACACAGTAATAAAGCGTTGGCATAACGCACTGGTGCGTGTTGAGTTTGTGGAGGCGTGCGAATCACCTGAGTTTTCGTTTACTTCACCCGAGTGTCGGGATGAGGGTGCAGTCTGAAAGAAAAAGCAAAACACCCCACCAGTGTACATGATTAAGGCGTAACCGTCATTAGAATTGAAGCACGAAACGTAAAGGTGATCAGGGTATTGCCTACTAATCTGGTGACTGTACAACGCGTATGATGGACCAATTAAATCAGCGAATACAATTGAAATTGGGTATTAATTTTCATCTCAAATTGCCAACCATATGTGCATAGTCTACTGATGTTATCACTATATGTCGAGAATCCATCCTCTTGTATCTAGCTCGAATAAATGAGCTTGCTGCCTAGTTGGAAGTTCGAAGATCAACAGTGGATGACTACCAAGCCCAAAATGAGACTGGTCAGAAAGGTGAAGATGCGACTCACCACTGTTGAAATGCGGCGTTTAACCTTGTTCCAAGCGTCCGATAACATCTACGATAGAAATTGTATTCATTGAAGGTTAAATGATTTTGCGAGCTAAACTGAACACAGTATAGACAGGAGTTCTACGTTGATGCCAAATGACAGGCGAAATCAAGGCTGCAACATCGCCAAATTTAAACAAAGGCGCTTAATTCAACTCGAAAGGCCATTTTTGCAAACAAGATTTGCACTCTAAGGGGTACAATGTGAAATGCTTTCGAGAAAGCTGACTTTAACTATTAGTCCATCAACCTCGGAACCAATTCATTTCTTTAATTGTAACCCTGTATGGCAGGTGGGAAACCCCACGGATTGTGGAGGAAGTTGATATTCAATCGCACTGCCTTATTGCAGACATTTCCTCAAGATGGAATCTACGTTAAATGCGCAGCACTGAGGAACTGTGGAGGTAGACATCAAATGCAAATTGAAATTCGGATAACATCATAGAAGGAAAAGAGCCATAAAAAGTGAGACAATTTTTATACATGCTGCATTGAATGTTGTGGCGTAGAAGAGCATGAAATAGTGCTCCCAAGCTTGTTCGTAAGATTGATATACTAATTCAGATGATGAAGGACTACGGATTGCAAACCTGCAAAGTAATACTGTCAGAAAATCAGAAAATTGTCGTCTGCAATCGATTTGCATGTCAAATAGTAATTACAAAAGGGAAAGTCACTAACATCCTCGACAGTCTGCTTATCTGAAACAAGCGAATTTCGACGGAGGGAGGCGCTGCGCGAATCCACTTCGGGGGTGTTATGGTCGGTCAGCGTCCCCGCCATGGAGCCGCGTTGGCTGTGCTGCTGCTCTTGTTGCAGAATTATAACCTCAGCAGCAAGCCATTCGGATACCGAGCGCTCGTAGGCCATGCGAGTGCGCTTATCTATTTCCTCAATCTCCATCGGGGTCGCGGACCACGGGTAATGGTCCAGGAGAAACGGCCATACCTGCGAGGCAAGTATTATCCCCTAGCATAAGAGCCGAAAGCCAGAAGTAAATTTGTCAAAAGCAAGCACCAGCACTCATCGCAGCCTCCCTAATTTGACAGTATCAGGGACGATGAGGTCAAAGCTCTTTACGTGATCTGCCTTTCAACACTCCTAATGAAGTAAGGCATGGGAAAAAATTGGATGAGCAATCCTAACTGTAGCTAACATGGTATCAAGAAGCCGCTGCAGTCGCATTCTGTACGATGACTAAACGAGTCAAAGTCCAACTGCGTGCATTAAAGGTACAGCATTGTGCAAGTTTAGTTACATATTTTATGATACATAGTTAAGGGTGAAGAATGATTAAATAGATCATTGCAGTTGACGCGTTGATTTTTGTCGACTGTTTCCATGTCTGCTTGGAAGACCGCGGTACTTATCCTAAAAACATTGCGCGGAGACAGGAAATGGCATAAGGGCATTGGGAAGAGCGAAGCTGCAACAAAGGAGCCGGTGTACTTTCAGCTCATTGTCAGCCCGACGATCAAGATAAATAACTGCATTTGCTTCGATTGTCACTTTGTCAAAGTTTTTTCAAAATTTTTGCAACATTGAGAATTGAATGAGGACAGAGACCCATGTGAAATGGAAATGATACAGGGCAATCGCCTTATGCATGTGATAATAAGAACTGCACGTAACTGTTATGCATCATCAAGTTGCGCTTACAGTAAAATGGTGCTTTTGTACTGTTTTTATGACACAAATGATTAGGATAAAACACAAACATTCTTTCTGTGGGAGTGATGCGAGTGTACGAATGGTTGGGACCATGAAAGTGAATTCTGTAAAAGACCACAAAGGAATTACCTTTTCCAAATATTAACTTAATACCAGAAGTAAGTATAATAATGAAGGCAATGTGACCGTGGGAATGTATAGTAGTCGTTGGTGTTTGGAAGAATTGAGGATGACTGTGCAATGCATAGAGGGAAGCAGAACTTACCTCCTGACGTAGCGCTGGGTCACAGCCGCCAAAGTAGATGCATTCATACAACTTCCGAACGAGTTTATTCTAAATAACAAGGTTTGAGAGCGTTATAGAAGCCAAGATCGACACGACGAACTACTTTCAAAGTCACTAAAGCGTTGCAGGTTGATCCAATTCAACAGAATCGGCATAAGCGTACCATACAGGAATTCAGCTGCCATCCACGACATAAGCGACGTGCGTAAGTAAAGTTCGCGGAAGGGAAATTCACAAAGCATTAACTAATCTCACAACACTGTCCTAAAACCGTCAAACAGGTGAAGCATGATACTGAGACATTGACAGTACATGTTAGCACTGGTAATTCGCCTTGAGGCATTGAAGATTGTTCAACTTGAGAGACTTTTCTAGAACAACGAAACTTGATATAAGCCTAGTAATCTCAGCCTCTCATGGTCCCATTTTACTTCAACAGAGCAGATAAAAGTGTATTTTTGAACTCAAAGCATAGCTATATACTTAGCATAAAAGTGCTTCCAGAATAAGACTTTCCGGCATTTATTTATGCTAATCTGGTGAGCAATTCGAACATGGTAAAATGTCAAGTTATTGAAGCCAACCACCAAAATAATGCTTCGAATTGGCTGTAGCTCCACTTTATTTGTTGTAATTTTACCAAACACTCAAGAGAATCCCTCGTACTAATTTCAAAAGTAATAGCGGAATCTAACGCCTCGAAGTCAGCGACGCTCATTCAAACAAATGTGTAGACAATAAAAGCATCAGCGCATGAAGAAGCGTTGTGTAAGGCAACTAAGAAGGACTGTTATATGCATTCATCTCTAACAGCCAAAAATTTCTTTCTTCGAGGCTTGTGTATGCTCTGGGTAGCCCAAACCCCGAATTGAGGAGATAGTACATTGAAGTGAATACCACCGACATGACTCCTATTTTGTCCTCTCCCTAGAGCGGCATTTAAGCGTGCAGTTATGCCATCGGAGGCGGGCGCTTTCCCATCAAATATGTCCACTTGTGACGCGCAACCACGAGTCCGATGAAATGTTTGTTTGCAAGGAAGTAAGTGCAACAAATACGTCAGTCAAGAGTGGCCAGATTTGATTATGAGCGTTCCACATTCTTTAGTCGACTTGGTTTGGACTACTCTCAAGTTAGTAACACTTTATTCGAACAATGTTTGGCTCACAAAAGCATTTGAGTCTTCTCAGAATCACGCTGTGGAGGGCGCAATCGAAAACTAAAACTGATGGATTTGCAGATCGAATGTTACTTTAACTCTGAAATTTGTGCTATGGCGGAGAGTATAAATCGCAAAAAAACGAGTCTAAATAACTCCTTTTACCTTCCCACCAGAGAGCCTTACGCTCCGCCACAACTCTGCCGTCAGAGGTTTGGCATTGGGAGATGGAGGCTTTGACAGCAGGTAGCGCGGATAGACAATATTTTTGAGACGATTTCGAACGAGGTTGACGGAGCGTGTATAGGCCAGCCCTTTCAATGAGGAAGAAAATTGTGATCAACAACAATAACATAACATAACAATAGCAATAGTTCTTCTTCCATTGTGAGAAGAATGACATCAGTCTCAGCTTCAAAAGGACTCAGAGCTACTTTTTGCAGTAAACTTGTTTTCGATTTGAAATATCAAAGGTTTTGTTTGCACATTTTATTCTTCCGTATGCTCGTAAGCAAAAAGCAGGTGCTAAATGTGTTGATTGGAAAAATACCACAACAAATGGTATCATTGTCGAAAACTTTTAGAAAGGCCTAGTTCAGGGTTTTGCAGATCAACTAATGTTGATTCCATATTAAGATGGGAGCAAAAACCTCAGTAGACCATTCGAATGTCAAAATGTGAGCAGAAAAGTGGCATAAGCTATGAAATGAAGAAGCCAGAGCGATTTACAAGACACGATGAAGTTGTTAACAAGCGATCCAACTTACTGTTGTCTTTGATTTCGTACAACTACAAGTGGCTAATTTATGCATGCTACGCAATTTTGCATTGTACAACGATGTAGTAATCAGAGACAATCCTCGGACACTTCACTACGATAGCAAAACCCCTATGACATCATAACGGAGTCCATGGCGTCAGTGCGAACACAATCGTGCAAAACTCACATCCATGGAAGACACGTGAGAGAATCTGGTGTTGCATCGTTTGGTAGGTGGTGGAGAACGCATTCATTGCATTTACGGGGACTCGAGGAAGGTATTCTGTGGGTGTGCTGGACCTGCTGACGGCAGCCAGATTTTCCATGGATAGCGTTCTTGTTTGTAAACTCTCCCTTAGCGTGGATGCAAACATTCGGAATGCGTTTTCTGGTTTCTTCGAGTAAGGCAAAAACACAGTTTCAAATCGTCATTTAAATATGGGATAATTTTAAGCAAACAAAGCTGTCTTTATTACCCACTGCATCAAAACTGTAGGCAATGGACTACGTAATGCATTTTTTGGTCATTATTTTGAAAGTTAAAAACAAGTCAAGACAAATTAAATTGCAGGTGAAAGTTGACTGAGACTCAATTATGCCACAATAGGGTTCAAGGATAGTGGCAAGTGTGACTACAAGATACAGCACGAAATCCACGTGGTTGGGTGTGGTGTTCTAGAAAGATGGCATCAAGGCACCTTTACAACGGTACCCTGCCAACTACTTCGTATAGGCCTGCCGCGCAATACAAAATGTTCTGCATGACTATGTCAAGACACGCGTGCCTGACATTGAGGGGGAAAATGTTAACGACGAACATGAGTGTGGTCCACTGACATAAGTACAGAACATTATATTTAGGGCAAGTGAGCATCTTGATTGGATCCACCCGGACGCCAGGTAGATCGCACTACCTACTTTTCATACTGATAACATCAACTGGTTTTTCGTATTACCATAATTTTAAGCGATTTTATTCCGTCCCTACGAAGTACGTATATTGCATGCACAAAAAGCAAGAAAGTCAAACGAGGCAGGATATTAAGCGTTCTCTCAAATGCTACCAAGAATGTTTAGAGTGGGAAAGACAATGTAGGCTTGTTGTGCTTACACGAGAGGGCGGAGACTCGAACGTGTCGATGCGGAAACAGAATTGCGTCGGCGTTACATGAGACGACAAAGAGAGCTTCTCTCTATTCGCACCAGTAGGGATGGACGAGGGAGCTGTGGACAGAGCGTGTACGCACTGATTACCACCTATTCCAGCGCCAATGCAGTAAGCAAAGGTAGCGGATACCAAAGTACTCACTGTTTTTAAACGTATACCGATTTTCTTTTTTAACAAAATGTAGTCAATGCATTAGTTGACACGTCGTTTCACTAGTGCGTTTACATTTTAATCTGTAGTCAAAATATTGTCCTGAAATTTCTTCACAAAAGCACTTGATAGCTTGTGGCAAATCGCCTTCATTAGCAAGATAAAGAACCTTTAAGTACTCCCACACGAAGTAGGCGAGGTCAAGACAATGCTGTCGCCTCTGTACACAGATTTCTATGATTTGTGATTTTTTAATTTTTACTATTGTTTATGAAGTAAGGTTTAGCATACACAATGACTTTTAACTAAAATAATTTTGTTGGCTTTAAGAGTACCAGAGTGAATCAGAAATAGCAAAGCAGCAAAGCAAATAACCTTAGAAATCCGTAATGCATCCCCAAAACATCACTGTTGCAAAACCGCAAGGGGCGCTTGAATATTTTGTTACCCTAAACAACACGGTATTACTCGCTCCCCTTTCATTTCATAACAATGTGTGTCAGTTCAACGAAGAAAAATCCGCCATAGACTCTGGGGAGGGTGAACGAGAATTTCCTAAAAAATATTCTCAGTCTCTGTGCAGCTTTAAAGTGGTGCTGGCGAGGAAGGATGGAATTCCACCTAAGCCAACTGTTGCGGTTGGACTAGCTACTGCCTTCAATTTTAAATGGCTATGAAGTTTCTAATTACGTTCCTCAAGAAGAGGCAACTAGAGAAAATGTTGCAGTCTTAAGAATGGCCTTATGCACCATGTCAGGGATAAAATCTGAATTCCGAATGTACCTCAGCTCAACTAGACTGGAAGTGGGTATCGATGTTGTTTGGTTGGTTTTGATGATGCACATTCAATGTTTTGAACACAAACAGCTCGACTCTCGGCTATGAGTACGACGGGCTTATGGTGCCGAGTCCTTTCATTAAACCGAATCGGATTCTAGTCGTCAAAATACAACGGAGAACGCAAGTCTTACCAGCCCCATATGAGAAAGTTACGATACCGAAGCGTAAAACAGTGGATTCGAGTTGCTACGACTCTCACAGTGCAAAACCCACAAGTGCCAAGCACCGAAACAAACGTTACGAGGAGCAAATCGACAATTACTCATTCAAGAGTTACTTACAGACTGTTAAACAAAATCAACTTATCTCTAAAATGGGTTACGAGCTGGCTCCGTGAGACCCAAAAGTATGATGAACACAACTGATCGTTGGATTTGTTAACGCAATAAATGCGGCAAGTTAAAAGTTTGATAACTTACAATTCTCCTCCCAATCAACATCATCTGTTCGAGGGTTCAGAGACCCCTTGGGTGCCAAATGCGTTTCTAGGCATTGAATGAAGGAGACGACTTGTGAAAAGGCGGGAAAAGTCAATGGAGGATATTGTACACCGTCCGCTCGTACCAATATTACTGTCCCACTATCAGTATCAGAGTCTGCAAAGAAGCGCGATGGGAATTGAGGGGTCGGAGAGACCAAACGATAAAACTTAAAAATCCCAAGCAAATGCCACCCATCAACAAATGCCTAAAGTTAATGCTCGATTTCCTACTCATACAATAAACGTAAGAGAGGGAGAGAAGAGATGAGTTGCCATTGTTATGCATTTACATTTTAAAGTATTTGGGAAATGATCCACAGCATTCATGTTTAAGTAACGTTGGGTACAAAATGGTACGGAAGGCTTCGTGACACGGGCTGACCACCTGCATTACTGCCTTCATCCAGGTCTGAAGTTTAAAATTTATGCAAGCATTAGAAGGCATGGTCGCATCTTTTGAAGAGCTGGTGATGCTTGTGCGAAGTCAACGTGACAGACCTGGGGTTGCTTCTCTTTGAAAACGTATTGGAAGAGACGATCAAGGGCCGGACTTACGGATTCACTTTATCAATACAACACACATTGTATGTGGAAGTAATCCTTAAGAACGTTAGTTCAGTTATATTAGTCCCTCAATACTACCAGTAAAGCGTTTCATAGAAATCTTGGCGTGCCTCTGATGTACTGAAATGTTGAGAAAGCAGGCCTCTCTACCCGTACGGAGTGGCATTCGCCCGTTAAAATAGGATGTAAAAATATGACGAAAAGATGAGATAAACCAAGACTCTCCTCTCCCATTTCATGCTTCAGCGGTCATAGAATTCCGGAGGACAACCTGATAACCCTTTTAGATGCATACTTCAACAAGTAGTAAAGTGAAATGAATGAATTGTCAAACTTGGTCTACCGTTGATCGGTGAACTAAAGTGTCGGAAATTCGGTAAAAATGAGCATATTTTGCACAACTTCGCACGACGTGTACATCTCTAATGTTTACGGAGGTTGCATGAATAAGTTAATAGGTTCGATTCCGTGCGTTTGAAGAAATCTCATCTACAGAAAAGGATATGCAGGTACCACCGTAACAAGAAAGTGGAAGTTCGATCACATCTGACGGTATTGTCGCATTTGTTATGCATTAGATGGCAACTTTCGTGAGCATTCACATCTGAGACGTTTCACGCAGAACGGCTAGTTGGATCTCAATGCCTAAAGATTACCTATTTAGCTCACATAAATAATTAGATTTTTACTTAGCAAATTATGACGTCAAAGTAGGACCGATCACACTCGCGCAAAGCTTAACGGGTAATCCGACAAATACCGTTTGAAGAAGATGCACTACAACTGCCTAATCCTCCCAATCCATGCGAACAGTTTAGCCACAAACAATTTCCTCGTTCCAAGTCAGACAGCACTCAGGAATGTTTAATAGTAAACTAGTGGAATCAAAGCAGGAATGACATTGATTGCCGCATACGCACGGTCCTTCAGGTAGGTAGGAGTTGCTAGTCTTTGCAACACCAGCGTTATTACACTACCCAATCATGGAATTCCAGATAAAGGCATGCGAGGTGAGGCGCCTCTGGAACTCTTTGAACATAAATTGAAGCAGGTATGGGCGCCATGTAGCGATGGCAATTCAACAACTTGCTGTCAATTGTTGCTTGACATAGAGGTTATGCTTCTACCATCGTTCCAATCTGGAGGAGGGAGGTAGTTCAGATCGCAAGCGGTGAGTGCAGACAGAGATGTGGCACAAACACCTAGCAACACACATTCATCGAAATGAAGCAGTATTGAGAGCACAAGGATGAAAGCAAAAGGCCTAGCATCTGTTGATGAATGAGAGTGACAAGAGCATTGTCGGCAGGATGATTAACAAAACGCTAAATGCTCCATTGAGCATACATTTATCAGTGACATCGAGTTTACTCTTCGCCTTCGACTTGGTAAGGAATGTGATAGTTCACAAAAGTTTTGGCTATTTTCTTCCACCTTTGCTAACCACTCAAGAAGTCGAAAAAATGGTCATCCAAGTGAGAACGAAAGTTTCTTAAGAGTTAAAATGGCAGAAAGGAAACGGAAACTTCACGCATTTGGAGATCCCGGATGCGTACAATTTTGAAGTAATTCGTATTTATAAAATAACCAAGGTTGAAAGCAAAAGAGCGAGCAGAGGAGCCCTTAGCAAAACACACAAACCATCGTTAGGCGCCGATGCCTTTTTTTAATTCTCAACTCCTGCGGTGAAATGGATAGTGGTTTTGAATGTCCTGTTTTTGCAAATTAACATCCGTTTACTATCAGGTGGCAAGTTATGAGGTGACACTTTGGATGCGTAGGAGAGAAGGGTGGCACCTCGGCTCAAATACTGAAGTGAATGTTTTCCTCATCCCCTCCCTTATTCTATAAATTTTTCGTGCTTTACTATTAGGCCAAATAAAACTATTTGCAAACAGCAGACTCGTAAGAATTTTGTCAAGTGTGAAGTTGTTGATAGTGATGAAGAGACTACAACACTAAAGTAAAGATGTTTGTGGATTATCAAGAGAGGAACAAAATAACTAAACCGATAGAGCAAAATTTTCAAGTAAAAAGACGTACAATGTCGATGACAGTGAATGTATACGACCTTCTTGATATCAATGTCCAAGACAAAATCCCAGTAGCTCCTAAGTTTGAAAAAAGACAAATCTGAAGTTGGTCACAGTTCTCCAACTGTCAAGAGAAATAATAATTTGGAAGTTTGGTTAAATCATTTCACACGGACCGAGACGATGTGCAGGTCGCATGGCGCTTCGAGATGTTGGCAACTTTGGTTCCCGCTTACCTTTCAGTCAGAACGTATAGAACGTCTCACACAAAGGAAACTTAAGCTCTTGCTAAATGCTTATCCATGTCCTCATTGTTGAGAGGTGGCCAACTCAAGAAAACAAATTTTACCCGCTTGAATGCAAGCCAAATGACAGCAATTTACAAGGAAAAGAAGTCACACAAAAAATTGAGCGAAATGAAGCGCGATTGTGCTTTCACTTAAGTTTTTCAAGGACTGTTGATTGCACAACCGATTAAGCCATGATTTAGTAAGTTTCAGCACTCAAGGCAAAAGCACATTTATTAAGACTTCTCATTTCATCGTTCATCGCACTTCTCCAGTCATGTCCATGCAAGCAAATGCTATATCGCTTGATTAAAATGCATGCACATTAAGCAGTAACTCACGACTCGTGCAGCATCAGTTTAGAGACGCCTTCAGCACTGTCGTAGGAGCGCAGACCATTGTAGGGACGATGGTTCCTCCGCTGCTGCTGCTGCTGCTGCTGCTGCTGCTCTTCGCTCTCCTGCGGCACGGACATGGCCCTGTTGGGTGCCCATTTCAGTTCCAGTCCAGAGTCGGCGTCAAGACCCGTCCTGTGCATCGACAGATAGCCAGAGATTCGACTAGTGCTCATGCTCTAAACAAATTACAGAATCAGGGTCATGACAGGCTTTATGTGGAGTTCGTGGTCTACTTGCTTCAAAATTACAGCAGCATCACTAAAGCACTCCCAAGTACATATTACAGGCGTTAAAGCACATAGCGTTAAAGCACTTTTCATACTTTGGGCTGAAAATCGTAGAAAGACCTGATTTTAAGTTCATTTGCTGCTATCAAATTGCCTAGTCTCTTAGACATATCGTCGATTGAATTCCACCATAAAAGGGTGGATTTGCACCAAACTGACTTTTGAGGCAACGATGATCAACCCCTCGAACACTGTTTATAATGAAGCAAGGCGGTCATTGGTCAGCATTACCAAAGTAAGCACAATGGGCCATTAACAGCCGGAAATGCGTGCTCTTTAGGCTACTATTATGAATGGTACAAGAGGTCTGCAACCGCAAGGGAGAGATAATTCCAGTCCAAAAGCCACTAATGTGTTCCAACGCATTCCTCCTATTGCTAAAAGCATGAAAGCATAGGTAATTCAAAAGCCAGCAGAAAATACTACAACACGCACCGGTTGCACGAGGACATTGTTTTTGCCATAAAGGAGTGGAGTTCGTTCATTTTGATGAAGGGATTCGACATAGTCCTTGGCCTGAGTCAGTTTCTGCGCTGGAAGGCTGGGCGAGAAGTTGGAGCGCAACTGATGGTGATGGTAGTGGTGAACATGCGCTTCTTCTTCTGTGACAAAACTACCCAAAGTGACCTCTTCATCTGTGCCATTCTCATCACTAGTGGCCTCACTAGTTGAAGTTCTCTGAAATGAAATGCTCAAATATGACTACTTACAGAATCTTTCATGTCTAAGTCGTAAAAAGTGGTTTAACTGAATGGACGCCATCTAGCAGAGCTCCGTTGGCTTAGCATTTGTAACAAGTCACGAAATCCGATTAACAATAGGAAATAATCAGAGTATAAGACCAGTGTTGGCACATTTAAGTATCAACGTAACTTCATATTGAGCCTTGAGAGAATAAGAAAGAACAGGTTATAGCCTTAATTATTGATGCTACCCCTTAATTTCCGGTACATTCAAAACATGCTTCAAACCATGATAAGGTGATTTGAAAACACTTTAAGCTCAAAATCTTGCTACTGTTTAAATACTGCGCAAAAAAAGGGTTGCGAAGATGCGTTAGTTGCGATCTTATTTGGTTAAATTGGGCGCACCAAAAGGGGAAACTGCCAGTTGGAAATTTATAAAAATGCCTAGTAGTAGAGAGATCCCCTGAGGATGAAGAAACAATTCACGGTTGAAGATTTGGCAATCAATCACTTCCTTTCTCTCGCCTCACCTGAAACTGTAACACAAAGGCGCCTCGTGTGACGTTGACAATCAACTCACTGTTAGTGCGCTAGACAAAACCAAGTGACGTTTCAAATTGACGCTTCATTTGGAGTGGATAACCAACTTACACAAAAGGCTTTCGTAGTGGATCGCTCCTAGCTAAATTTATGACTTGTGGTAGTGGACATCAGGACATCAGATCTCGAAGACCCGGAACATCACTGACAAATTACGACCAGAGTGAATGCATCCAGTCTCTGATAAAAAGAGCAGAATAACCTTAAGAAACACAAATACAAAGCCTGCTATTACTCTCTTGACCTGAAACGGAAATCACACGACGACAAAATTTTAACACCACAATACAATGGAGCTGACTGAAACTCAAGACATTTTTTGCAAAATGCTTGTCCAAAGCCCATGTCCCATCCTTCGTGGCGCATAATTTCCTTCAGAGAGATCTCGACAGACAGTGCAACTAAACACAGTAGTTTTGTCGAGCAAGAGGTTGCCAAGACAAGTAGTGGATGGGAAACTTCACGTCATGGGTCGAATCCGAAAATTCACACAAATTCATAGACAATCTTGACGATGATTTGCCCAAAAAGTGTGTAAGAATGCATTTTACGTCCTCTAAGAAACGTATGTATTTCGTTGCTGCCTCGTTTTGCACGGATTGCTAAAACTGTAAGAACGTAGTTGTTAGTGCCATGCGCCATTCCAAAGTTACTATAGATTAGACAGGTCGGAAGATCTCTTATGCAAATCAAAAGCAAGACGTCGTAAAAACCGATGATTGAAATTAATCACAAGAATCAAAGATCAGTGCCTATTTAACCAAATAAACTTCCAAACGCCCGGTAGAAATGGGTTTTCTGTTTAAAAGATGATAAAGTCAAGCCGATTTCAGGTTCTACAGGCAAATCATCCAAAAACTGAGTGCCAATAGATCAAAACGAAAGGGTGGAGATCAATAAGGAGTGACAGTTCCTTTCATAAACCCTTAAGTCCAGATCAAGTGGCCAAGCCGTTTGTCCATTTAGCAAGTTACTTCCGGACGACGACATCAACCATCAGCAAAGCGGGTACATCTATCTTCTGCAAACACTATTAAGTCGCAAATTTCTCGAATTGTATACTCTACAGAGGACGCATAAATCAAAGCTTGAGTAAAAAAGTGAAACGTTTACTAGTTATTTAAACACATTGAATATCACATGCAATTAAAGATGTTTCCTTTGTTAAATCAAAACAAATTTTCCTTTCATGGATGCAGCAATTGCAAGCTATGCTCATCGGAAATGAACTGCAAAGAATTACCCACGAGTTGGAATTCAAAAATCTCAAAAATATGAGACTCAGAAAAATCCGCACAATCGTGAGACTATTCAAAACAATAACCAGGCGAAATTATCTACCAATGCGCCATTCCCTTGTCTTGCTGATGTAAGAGTAACCGTTTAGAGAAGAAAAATAAATACACTGAAGTGCCTGATTTTCACATATTACACTTTCGCTCTAAATAAAACTCTCTCACGCACTAAGTATGGGCAGAGAAGAAGGATAAGCCACCTTGACTTCAACCCCATTCTCAGTTGCGGTAACTGGCCCCTCGCAAAGTTACTAACAGATGGACATATTTGGTAAATAAGGAAAATCTGCAATACCAAGAAAGGGAATAATTCAAAACAGTGGCGGTAATCCAAAGCAATGAAATAAAAGGTGGCGTCGGTAAGAAAGCAGTGTGGATTTGTCCGTGAGGCTGACAAAATATATAAATAAAAATTATTAATTGCAAAGTCAACACGTGAAGCCCTGCACCTCTTTATCAACTACGGTGATCGCATTACGGAACGCGATTACCTTCTAAACGCAGACTAACTTCAATAACACCACCCGCGACAGCGGAAAGCGGCACAAACCGACCTCGGAGGAGTGAATGACGGAAGGCGATGAGGAGACTTGGTACAACAGTGAAGCAGGTGAAATGAGGTGAGGGTGAGGACGAGGAAGCAGGCAGGAGCGGGAATATGTAGGGGCTCGTCCTGTACCCGGGTACTTTCGAACTCCTGTCACCGATCCCTTTTCCATGATCCCTTGTTGCTGACTATGATAAACAGACTGAACGCCCGCAGAGTAAATCATCTTTCGCTGCATCAGCTCCCCTGCTGACGGATCCGTCCACAAATGGTCAATTGTCCGGATCCTAGTGTAATCGTGTATGCAAGGGCCACCTGTTAGATAAAAAAAGCTTTCAAGTCAAAGCTCTATTCCTGTAACACCGCAACCTGAAATAAGTTCTAACATAAAACATAATATGCAATGGCTTTAATGTTCAAGATGATTTATAATATCACAGGCTTTAATACGCTACTATAAAACAAATTTAAATGTCAACAGAAAACAGATAATGCTACCTCCTCGTACATGTTAAACTAATATCTTTTAAACTTACTCAAGTGCGTAAAGCTACTTAAATGCTAGTAATATTCGCACACCTCCAGTGCGTAAAATTTCAAGTAAACCGATTCGAAAAAAGCAAGGTTAACATTCCTCATTTGTCATATCTTAAGGCGACAAGGAGTAGTTAGCATGAAGAACAAAAATCCACTTGAGTTTCTTATTTAGATACTGCCTGCTCAGCCCTCTTCCTGCATGCATTGCATGTAGCAACTTGATGTGGACCAATGAGAGCGACGCTGGAAACAAACTCGTCCACCCGACCAATGGCAGAGGAGCAAAGCTGAGAGAGGACACGCACGTAAAAGAATAATGCACATTGGTGTGATCTGGAAGCGGTGAGGCAGGAAAGCGCTGCACGAACTAATAAGGTGGGCAAAGTTGCCTCGAACAGATGGATATCAAAGACACGCACGTCCACTCACGGAGCAGGTCAGCAAAGAGTTGGCTGTCAAACGGATGCGCGATGATTGAAACGCGCTCGTAATGCAACCTACAATGAAGAAGTTAAGATTTGTGAACCTCTTATCGGTGTCTACCACTAAAGTTTAAAAGCCGGAAATCACTCCATATGGCTTTGAACTTTGTGCTAAATAACACTCCCCTAGACTACCGGGAATTGAGGTGTTACGTATATAAACGTACATATATATATAT